CAAAATCAAATCAACGGCATTTGGAAGAGTTAATGTTAATAAAGAAGACTTCATATTGCTGTCGATGAATGAGGTTCGGTCACATTTAGAAAAAGGATAAAATAGTACATCTTTAAGCGCTTGACATGAATTTGTGGACAAACCTGATCCTAGGATCGTCTGTTTGGCCTACTAACTAGAACAAGAGAGAGAGATAGATAGAGAGAGAGAGAGCGCGAAGGAAAGGGAACAGAGAGAGCCACTGAGTAGGACTAAGCTGGAGCATGTTTTTGCACCCAAAATTGTCAACCAACCCGTTGTTGTTGCATACACACACGCACACAAACACGCATCCACGAAGCTGTAAGAAGAGCCACGAATCACTTTTTCATGCACTTTCACACGAAATGAATGTTCTCGCAGGAGATTTTTCGAAACCCAATAAACGGTTGCCAACTGAGCGGCATTAACGACAGCCGCTCGCCCCATTGTCGGAATAGCGCGCTGAGAACATTTTTCAGAATAATTGGGAAAAATGAAATTTCAAATGGAAAAACTAGCTGAAACGAAAAGGTCGTAGTTGATGTAGGAAATGCCGGTTTTTGAACCCCCGAGGGTAGTTAATTGGTGCTCCGTCCGCTTAAAGTGAAAATGAGGAAAGCGGATTGCTTGTTTTTTTCACGTCCAGAAGGGGCTCTACAAAAGAGGGATTGAAGAGCAAGAAGACTTACGTTTTAGACAACATTTCAGCATTAATGGATGTAGAATGATTTGGCAAATTATCTTTCATTAATCAGCCTATCAATTTCAGTTTTTTAGTTATGAGTACATACAGCAGGCAAGATAGAAGCAGACATTTTGACAAGAATGAGTTGCAGCTCTGATGAGGTACGTCATTTGATGCACGAAAGGTCAGAGCATTTTCAGCCGAAATGAGGAAGAATGTCTCACGGACTGCGTCGACATGAAAGTGGTCCTGGACCCAAAAGGCTGCAGTACGACGCAAATGTGCTGTAGTCTTCTGGTGCCATCAAAACACGAGTCGCTTTTTCATGCACTTTCACACGAAATGAATGTTCTCGCGGGAGATTTTTCGAAAGCCAACCATTCTCAGCATTTAGAAAACGTGGTAAAACCACTTGAACTCAGAGTAACGAGACTGGCACTAAAATGGCGACCACACCATTTGGTCGTCATATCTACCATTTCAACCGAACCACTCCTCGATCTGCAACTGCTCTTCCAATCTCTCCAACGCCGAATGGCGCCAGTCGTCCTGAGTGCAAGTGTACAGAAGAACACGAAATCTAGTTTCTGCGCGGAGACCCGTCGTCCTTCTGCGCGGCCGATGCGTCGGAGACGAGACCGACTGGCCAAAATTAGTTCCTGTCTGTTGGTTTGTTTGAGTATCGGTGTTTGTTGAGGTGTAATGGTTTGTTATGGCCGAAATATATTGTGTAAAAGTTGAATACATGCTTTAACGGGAATGGATCCACTTGTACATTTATTGAAATATATATTTTTATGATTGGTTTGTCATTATCGTTGAGACTTCAACCTGTTGTCTTGCGTTTTTTTTAGAGATATTCGCCTTAAGGTTTATTACATTTTTGTTGCCATTTTGTTTTCTCATCTCAATATATCGTAAAATATGTCTATTTTGTTTTATTTGAGTGGTGATAAATAGATTTATGTCTTATTCTGCACACACACACACACCACGTGTTGATATGCCGACAAGTTGTGATTTAAATTTGCTTTAATGCAGTGGATCCATGGCAGAAGTGGCCATGGTTATTCAGTTGGTAAGTGGTGTGGCTTGTTCTGTTGAGTATGTAAAATTTGTAGGTTCTATGTTTGGAGAACCCGGTCCCATAATAGATGGCTTGTCTGTTAAGTTGTTGCGCTTTTTACACTTGCCAGTTGCTAGGTTGCTGTTTGTTTGTTTATTCATTCATATGAGTCGTGGGATCTATTATAGGAGATATAGAAAGAAGGTTATGTTGTATATTTCTATAATGGCTAAAGCCTTTTTTCGTTATTTGCTTCCTTGACATCAAATGTACTACTGAATTGGTGTTGTGGTAAGTAGTATTTTTTTATCGATTCCTTATATAGGACCAACGTTGCATGTGTACTTGTTGGGATCCTATGATTTTGGCAGTAGCATCCAAAATCGGGCGTTTGTGATTCATGTTGTCATTATATTTTTGATTTTGTTGCACATAGTCAGTTTGCATAAGGTTGGTTCCAGGGCTTGCTTTAAAAGAAGTGACAGATATTCGGATTCTTTTTTTTTCATAACCTTCATACACTTAAGGATGTGTTGAGGGTGTTTTTCTTTACACTGTTGTCGGCTTGCCATAGTCCATGGTTGACAAGGTGTAAGCAAAACTGTATAGATCCAAACGCTTTTTCAACCCTTAACAAACACAAAGCCCGAGTGGTATTTTCTTCCGTTTTATGCCATCCTACGCCCCAAAATGCCCACGATTGTGCCACATCAACGGTCGGATCCTCGAGCAGATGAGTTCGGCCACATTTTGTCCGCCATACTCGACTTGACTACGCATACAAATTTGCCAATTCAAGGTCACATGACTTGTCTACAACAAACGGAGTCCTGAGGCCGTCCTCGTCTTCACGTCCGCCAGACACCCACCCACCCTTTTCCGCCGTGAAGACGACACCGACACTCGTAGTTGCCACGGCAACCGACGGATAGACTCTTTTTGTGTTGATAGTTGTCGGTGCTGTAGCCGCGTTTGCAGACACAGCTCGACCGGCGGACGGAGGCTGCTTGCTTTGGCTGTCGGCAAAAAGGAGTCGTTTTGCTGCACTCTGCCGCCTCTACAGACGTCCGTCGAGTCGACCTTTTTTGCTCATCGGCAACTGGCTCCGAGACGGCAGCAAACCTCGTCACTTGCGATTTGAGTCTCGACTGCTTTTTTGGCTACTCCTCCTTTTCCATTCTCTCCTCCCCACCATCCCCCACTCTACTCTGGACACACACAAATCACACACACACACACACACACACACACACACAGGCAGGCAGGCAGGCACACGCAGATGCACACTCGCACATGTACTGTATGTACTTGATGCCTGGTATCGTTGTTTCGATAAGACAGAATCTTTTTCGTCTTTTTCGTATTTTACGTCTTTTTCGTCTTTTTCGTCTTTTTCGTCTTTTTCACCTTTTTCACCTTTTTCGCCTTTTTCGCAATTGCATCACCATTGCCCTGCCCTCGTGCAATACCAGCTCGTGTCGTCCAGCAAACGTGCTGTGAGGCGAAGCAGGCACTGTCTGATTGATGATGCAAAATGCGCACGACAACTGCAAAGAATGTGACACTCCTTCAGCGAGGATTGCACAAAAAATGCCACCTTCTCCTCTGCCACTTTCACCAACCCAGCCTTCCTCTTTCTCATCCACGCCATTTCAACACACTCAACATCGTTTTACACCAACTCCCGCGAATGTACTCCAATCTACTCCACTTCGATCCACTTCACTTCACTTCACTTCACTTCACTTCACTTCACTTCACTTCACTTCACTTCACTTCACTTCACTTCACGTCAATCAATTCAGCTACATCTCATCACGAACTAGTCGAATACATTTTATGCCATTTCGCTACGCTCAATTCCATTCCAATCCGGCTCATACGAATCCCATAAGACGAGTAGAATAGAGTAGAGTAGAGTAGATTAGAGCTCCTTCCACCCCACATCACTCCGATACACTCCACTACACTCCCATCTACTCTACTCTACTCTACTCTACTCTATTCTACTTTTCACTATTTAACTCTACTCTTCCGTACTCAAGTCTAATCTTATCTATTATACTCTATTCTATTATATTTTACTCTACTCTTATATACTTAACTCTACTCTACTCTACTCTAACCTTTTCTAATATATTCTTCTCTATTCTAATTTATTTTACTCTACTCTTTTCTATTTAACTCTGCTCTACTCTACTCTACTCTACTCTACTCTACTCTACTCTATTCTAAACTACTCTTTTCAAATCTATTCTTCTCTTTTTTATTTTATTCTAATCTACTCATATTTACTTAGCTCTAC